CTTTAATATGAAACAGGACATTTCTACTAACAGATTCAGATAACTTTTGTTTTCCTTGGAAATAAGAAATCAGCAGTATATGAGCCTATATTTATATTCAGCAACCAATATCTCAGCATTATGTTTTATCTGGAAATGATCTAGACATTCAATGAACATCCATCATTTAATTTAGCTTAATGAATCTCTAGGGGTATACTTACCAAGAGATTTAAAAAACCTTCCCAAGTAAACATATCACAAAACATAAACCAGTTTACAAAATTTATCCTGTCCAAATTCACCAAATCCATTCACCCTCAAAGAATTATGCTTGAAAAATTTAAAGAGACATCAAACAAATCTAGTCATTATCCCACGCTGTTTCTGTCAACCAATTGTACATTATTGCATTCCAGGCAAATATTATAAAAGCAAGAACTCTAAAGTTAAATACGTGCACATTTTGCTGATAACTCAGAATATGCAGCCATTTTCATCAAACCAACAATGTTAGTCTAGTCCCATCTGCCAAAAGATAACTAAATCACATTAACTTGAAAAGCATTTCCGCTTATTTGCTTAATCTATGAGTATTCTTTTATTTTTTTGTAAGAGATGGGCTCTCACTGTCACCTACGCTGGAGTGCAGTGGCCCAGTCATAGCTGACTGCAGCCTCAAAGTCCTGGGTTCAAATGATCCTTCCACCTCAGTGTCCTGAGGAGTTTGGATTACAGGCACAAGCCATTGCACCTGGCAAGTACTCATTTATTTATAAAACAATTTGGAACTATAGACAATATATGAATAGATATGTAAACATATATGTACACAAAAATACAGACACAAATAAAGATCTTACAGCTTTCATTTTAAAACTTAGCCATGAGTTAAGTAAAACTCATTAGTTTCAAAAAACAATTTGATTCCAACTGCATTTCTGTAAATGGAACGGGCTGAAATTTATCTGTTCCACATGCCCGAAGCCTTTACTGAGCTTTAAAGAAAATAGGGTAGCAAATTTATACCTCAAGCACAGAAAGAATTTAAGCTTTTTCAAGAAGTCTGGGTGTGTCAGAAGAGGATTAAAATGGATATCAAGGTAACATACAGTCACAGGAATTTCTCACAGGATTTTACAAGAAAACACACAGACAAGTTCAGAAAAAATTTAGAAATGTTTCCAAAATAACCAGCTGAAAGAGTGAAAGAGGCAGGAGAAAGTGAAGGATAAAGGACAGGTGGCAAAAAGATTTTCTGAAAGAAAGACTGGAAGAAGACAGGAAGACAGGAAGAGTGGCAGAAAGGGGAATGAAGCCAGGAAGAGTGGCAGAAAGGGGAGTCTAGTGGAAGAAGTTTCTTCCAGAGGTTTTTTTCCAGCTTTAGTTTCAGGTTCACAAGCTCTAATCTCTCTTTCTATTTCATTAAGGCATTCACTCAATTTGGAATTTTTTTTTTTCTCTCTCTCTCTCTCTGTGTCTCTCTCTCTTTTTTTTTTTTTTTTTTTTTGAGACAAGGTCTCACTTTGTCACCCAGGCTGGAGTGCAGTGGTGCGATCTCAGCTCATTGCAGTCTCCGCCTCCCTGGTTCAAGTGATTCTCATGCCTCAGCCTCACAAGTAGCTGGGACTAGAGGTGTGCACCACCATGCCCAGCTAAGTTTTGTATTTTTAGTAGAGATGGGATTTCACCATGTTTCCCAGGCTGGTCTCGAACTCCTGACCTCAAGTGATCCACTCACCTTGTCCTCCCAAAGTGCTGGGATTTTAGGCATGAGCCATCACATCCAGCCTGGAATTATTTTCTCTTAAGGGAGGCTACAGTAGCCTTTTGATTCTGTTTAGAATTTTCTAAAGGACAAACTCAAATGCCCATCAATAATGGATAGATAAAGAAAATGTGATACATATTCACCATGGAATATTATGCAGCCATAAAAAGGAATGAGATCATGTCCTTTGCAGAGACATGGATGAAGCTGGAAACCATCATCCTCAGCTAACTAACCCAGAAATAGAAAACCAAACACCATATATTCTCATTCATAAGTGAGAGTTGATCAAAGAAAACACATGGACACAGGGAGGGGAACAACACACACTGGGGCCTGTTGAAAGGTAGGGGGCAAGGGGAGGGAGAGCATTAGGACAAATACCTAATGCATGCAGGGCTTAAAACCTAGATGATGGATTGATAGGTGCAGCAAACCACCATGGCACATGTATACCTATATAACAAACCTGCATGTTCCGCACGTGTATCACAGAACTTAAATAAAAAATAAAAAAAAAAAGAAAATTAGAGTGCTTAGAACAGTATCTGGCATGTAGTGAGCACTCTGGAAGTGCTTGCTCTTGTAACATGTGGCAAACTGCACTCTGACTCTGCCATTTATTAGCAGTGTAGTCTTGTGCAAATTACTTTACCTCTCTGAGCCTCAGTTTCCTCCTCTATAACATAGGAGTAACCCCACAGGACTTGTTGCAGAGGTTGAATAAAATTGAATGGATAATGTGTGGGAAATACTAAGCACAGTGCTTGGACTGAATAAATGTCCAATAAATACCAATTATTTTTATTTCTATTACTTTATTGTCACATTTCTCTTATCAGGTCTAGACTTGCACCTCTTCAATCCAGTTCATTCCTATTCATTCCTCAATGGCAGCAAAAGTGGTCTTTTTGAAAAGTAAGCAGCCTCAAAATGAATCTATCGTGACAGAAACACATCAGTGGTTGTCTGGAGCCAGGGTGGAGAGGAGGGATGATTAACTGCAAACAGGTACAAGGGAACTTTCTAGGATGAGAAAAACATTTTATATTTTGACTGGGGGTGGTTGTACAGGTGTATTCATATGACAAGACTCATCAGACTGTATACTTAGTTGGATGCATTTCTTTTAATACAAACTTTACCTCAATAATGTTGATTAGAAAAAACGGTAAGCAGCCTCCCTAGTCATCTATTACATTATTATATTTTCTTTTCTCCACAGCACTTATCAGTATATAAAATTATTTCATTCACTTTTTTATATGTCTATTGGCCAACCCCTCCCTCCATTAGAATATAAACTCTTTGAGGGCAAGGACTCTGCCTTATACCCCACTATAACTCTAGAATCTGGAACCACGTTTAGCACTTAGTAGGAGCCTGATAAACTCTTCTTGACAGACTGACTAATGATTAAAGTCCATTAATGGTTCTACCTCCAAATTATATATTGATTTTACCTATTATCATCATTCCTGCTAACACCATTTCAGCTTAGGGCACTATCATCTCTTGCCTGGATTATGCAATGGCCTTCTTGCTTCCACCATTGCTCTTTCATTTCAGTCTCCACAGAGCCCCCCAGTGATCTTTTAAAATTATAAATCAGATCACATTACTCCCCTACTTTAAAAATGGAGATAAAAATGATTAAGAAGCTGAATAAATGAACAAGAAAAGGCAACTCAAAACTCCAGGAAAATACAAAAGTTATATAAGAAAGGTCATGGTCCTAATATGAAATCAACCAAAATGTAACTCTGGAGCATATATGAATCTCAGCTCATAAGTTCAAAAAATACCTCAGCTATTAATGATGAGGTGGAGAGATGGCCCTCAGACCAAAAAATTAAGACTTTTATCTTCTAAAAGTTGCCACTTTAGTGTCTTCTGTTCCAGTCTACATGCCCTTTATATCTAGCAAATTTCTACTACCTTCCTGCCATGGTGGGACACATGAGTCTCCTGTGAGGTCATCTGGAGCCTCGGCTGCCTAAACGTACAATGTAGCTGTGACTCTTGAGTCTTGTCACCTCGCCATGGTGTGACCCCACGGTGCTTCCAGAAAGTGAGCCCTGGTCCCTCCTTTTCTGGGAACCCCAAACATCACCTTCTTCTCTAATCAGAGTGAATCTCTTTGTCATAGGGGAAAGTCTGTGTTTCTCTGAGTCATTTGATACACCCATAAGTCACATTCTGTTTTACTTCTTTCCCCAAACTCTATAATTTTTCTAAATATATAGGGTTGGGGGAGACTAAAGCTGGAGAAAGTGCAGGAAATTTGTATGTTTTATCCCATCAAACATCTCACCCTAGGTAAAGAAGTACCAAATTGGCTATCCATTTGAATGGAAGAAGGGGACATAGAAAAACAGGGAGGAATGAAAAAGTGTAAATTATCATCTCAAAATATTACCTAGCCAATTTCCCCTTAGTAAATTTTTGTGTCTTCAGAAAATTTATTTTTGACCTTTGTTCAACCCTCTCAAGAGCACAATGTCTGAGTTTTGCATTTTCCAAGGTGGTAGGCATTGTGACTGATTTCCCAACATCCCATCTGTCCCGTGATTAATCTAAGCAATTCATGGCAATTTACCTCTTTGTCAGGGGTGGACAAGCTTAAACCAATTTGGGCCAATGCGATTCAAGGAGACGCATGATGAGGGCTCTAGGAAAGAAACTTCTTCAATCTTGAATGCTGTGGAAAGGCAGGCTCTTTCTTCTTCTTTAAGTTGTGAATGAGGAAATGTAGAGTTCCCTTTGCCTGGCAGTCACACCACAGTAACAAAGGGTAAAGCTAAAACTGTGGGTAGCAGAGCAAAGAAGTAGAAAGAGCCTACAGCCTCAATGCCATCATTCAGCCACTGAGCCCTGCCCTCACTCTTCATTGTCTAAGCCAGTTGGTTTTTCTGTTACTTGTGAGTTGGCTTTTCTGTTACTTGTTGCTGAGTGCATTCTATCTGATTTAGAATTTGGTGCCAGGAAAAGAAGTGCTAAAACTGTAGTGAGTTGCACGGTAGCTCCCCAGAGATATATCTATAAGCTAACCCCTGGAACCTGTGAGTGTTACCTTATTTGGAAAGAGTCTTTGCGGATATACCTGGATTATATTTTATTATTTTCAGATGTTGAAGAGACCCAAATTAAAGATATTTTAGTTAAAAAAAAATATTTGACCTTTATTACATGACCATTTATCAAGATCAAAAAAAGTCTTTTCAATAGAACTTCATATGACCCAGGAGTTTAAGTCTTTTTTTAAAAAATTAGTTCAATGACTTATTTGACAGTGTTACTAACTTCAGAAATGGATTTTCCTATAACTGAAAAAGAATCCTGGTCTGGGAGTCTGAACGCCTCATTTCTATCCTTGTCTTAGTTACTAAGCTGAGGGCTTAGGTAGGTCACTTCCCCCTCTGAGTGTTAAGTTACTTATTCTATGGAATAAGTAGCTCCCAATTGCTCAGGTGCATCAGAATCTTCTAGGTCCTTGTTACAAATACATACTTCTGGGTCTTGTCTCAGTCCTACTGAATCAGATTTTCTAATATTGGTGCAGGAGTCTGTATTTTTTAATTAACTGGGTGATTACAAGGTACAGCCAATTTTTTGAAGTATTGGATGAACACTTCTAGGGTCCTTCATAGCTCTAAAAATTTGTATTCTGATTTCTATTCCTTCTATCATTGTTTGTCCTAACTAAGCTACTAGATATTGTGCTAAAACAAAGCAAAGCAAAACACAAAATAAACAATAAATAACCAAGACCATGGTTTAATCATCTTTATATTCCCCCAGCACCTACAAAGTGCCTGGTAGGTAGTAGGTGCTCAATAAATATTTGAAAAATTACTCAATGGTGATTAAATAAATGAATGTTATTTCATGTGGATCCCAATCACCTATAGATAGAAGAATCTAAAAAGAGAGAAAATATTTTAAACTTTTGTCTGATGTAATCTTGCACTCCCTATCTGCCCTACTATGTACTTCAGTGATGGGTTATGTGAATGAAGTCATGCATATTGAGGGACCCAGTAGGAAGGTGGTTAGATTCTCCTGGAGGTAAGATTATCCCACAGTATTTCTCAGTGGCAGTGATAACTGAAAGGGGCTCATGATTCTTCAGGAGCTGGTTTTCTTCTCCATGACTTTTCCAAGACCAGAAAAAGCCATATCCTGACTGGATGACAGATGTCCTTGGAGCCATTGCTGCAGATCGCTGAACTTGCAAACACCACCTCAAGTTTCTGTGTGGTCCCAGAGGGTGGGAAGAGGCATTCATCTTCTGTTAGAAGTTACTGGTAAATTCGACAGCAGTGGGTGTCAGCTGAGCCAAGCGTCCTTTGCAGCCAGTGTCCCCAGGATATCTGATACCACCTTTTGTGACCCCACAGTCCTTCCTTCCACCCCCACTTCTAGGCTCCACTGACCCATTGAGCCTCCCCAGTTTAGACACTGTCCGCTGGCCTTGGAAGGTACCGGCTCAGGATGAAATCTGTCACAGGGGTGGGCAACTTAGCCAGGGGGATGTAGAGGAGTTTGGCATCCAGGCCAGGGTTGTAGCGGATGCGAGGGCTCCGGGAAACAATAGCATGCTCCATGCTGTTGATGACATCTCTGACTCTGGGCTCTGCCACCTGCATTATGTTTTTTAACTTGTCAGTATCTGTTTGAGGGCAGAGAGTGGAAAAAGGCTCTGTTATTCTTCATAAAAGATGATTTCTTCTGAATTCTGTCCAACTACCCTTTCCACGAGATCCCTGATCTAACATTTCAGACAGGTCTGCCACACCCTCCAGGTGGTCCCTTATACAAACACACATTTATAAGACTATTATAAATAATCTTAGCCTGGCCAACATAGTGAAACCCCATCTCTACTAAAAATATGAAAATTAGCCGGGCATGGTGGCACATGCCTGTAATCCCAGCTACTCAGGAGGCTGAGATACTGAATCACTTGAACCCAGGAGGCAGAGGTTTTAGTGAGCCGAGATCACACCATTGCACTCAAGCCTGGGCAACAGAATGATATGCTGTCTCAAAATAAATAAATAAATAAAGCATCAATCTTATTTATCTTCCTGAATTCAACAATTGTGCACTGATTTCCTACTATTGTATTAGACTGGTGATGAGAAGAACTGTGAGCATTCTTAAAACTGTGCCACTTATTAGTTATATTACCTTGAGCTTAAACTTTTATTATCTGTAAAATGGAGATAATACTATCTTTCCTGAAGGTTGGGCATAGTGGCTCGGGCCTGTAATCTCAGTACTTTGGGAGGCCAAGCCAGGTCGATCACCTGAGGGCAGGAGTTTGAGACCAGCCTGGCCAATGTGGTGACATCTCCTCTCTACTAAAAATACAAAAATTAGCTGGGCATGGTGACACGTGCCTGTAATCGCAGCTACTAGGGAGGCTGAGGCATGAGAATCACTTGAACTCAGGAGGAGGAGGTTGCAGTGACCCAAGATCGCACCACTGTATTCCAGCCTGGGCAAGAGTGAGACTCCATCTCAGAAAAAAAAAAAAAAAAGTCTGTCCTGGAGAATATCAAAAGATGATTAATAGCAGGGTAGACACTGGGAGAGTACAGAATAGCAAACATGATGGGAAGACAGCCTTTTTTTTTTTTTCCTTCTATGTACTTCCTAGGGTTCCCACATTTAAACAAAAACATGCAGGAGAAAATATTATTTAAAAATAGTAATACTGCCCCTACCTCGGTCATAAGATCATTGGCCATTGTGGACTCAAACAATTTAAGGAATAGACAAGCACCTCGTGGGGCCCTCACAAATGTGAGGGGCTGTTCTGTTTGCATTGGCACCCAGGAGTGGAGATGGGGACAGAGACCCCAGGTGGTACAAGTCTGCCAAAGCTCATGACATAAATAGGAGAAGGGCCACACCACACACCCACCAGGCCCTCATGTGCATCCTCACCCCAGGACAGAGGGATTCATGCTTCACTGAGAGCCCTGAGGACTCCAGAGAAAATGGTGCTTCAAAGTCAGACTGCCCTGATGAGGGATGAAAACTTGAAAATGGAGAGGAAGCCAAAGCTGCCCTGACTTTGAGAATGGTCCAGGCAGGCAAGGAATTCACCCACTCGGGGCCAGGATCCTTGTGGGTGGTTGGTGAGAATGGGGCAGTGTCACTTCAGTCCCCTTTACCCCAGACTCTGAGAAACTCCATTTTCTGTTTCCTGGAAAGAAAACTGATGCAGGGAAAAAGCCAAACTACATTTTGGGATCTCAACAAGAGCCACACTAACTTAAAGCCAGACTGTCCATAAGGCAGTAATGTCTTGGGAAACCACACCCTGACCTCTGACTATAGAGCTGGCACAGAGGCCACCAGCAGCAGGACTGAGGGCCGAAGGAATCGTTCAGGATGCCCAAGGGGCTGTCTCTGCCACCTCGGAGCCAGGGAAGCCTTTGTGGGCTGAGGAGGTGGAGCAAGCTGACATGGTGAGATGGGCTGGGGACTGGGTTCTGAGAGGTGGGGAGGGCTTACAGAGGCAGTGGGGTGGAAGAAGGTACCCCACACATGGGAAAGGGTATAAGGCACCTGCTTTCATTGTTTTCTCAAATAGATATTAGCTGCCATTCAGTGCTGAGCACCCTGCTAGGCATGGAGTGGGAAGGGAGACTGAAGGACCCATCCGGCCTTGTCACTCTCCTTCACAGTGAGGAAGGACATAGGCTTTGGAGTTGGGCACCTGGGAAAACGTTTTTGTTATTGGGAGAATTAAGCAAGATAAAGTCTATAAAGTATCAGGCCTGCTCCTAGGGGTTACAAGCCAGGGGCCTGTTTGGTCAGCCACAGCAACTTGCTGAGTTTGTACCCAGTGATGCTCTAGGACTACTCCTAAATATCTCTCCTGTCTGTCACACAGCCACCCCCCACCACCAGAACCACCATGACTTAGAACTTCATGTCTTTATCATTCCTTCGCTGGGTTTCTGCAGTAGTCTCCCAGGTGGCCTTTTTATCCTTCCCACAGTGACACAAATCTGATCCGCCGTTTCAGAGCCATTTACAAGGCTCTCTAATGCCTTTAGGATAAGAGCCATGCTCCTTAGTATAGCAATCAAAGTATTTTATGATCTGACTCCTAATCTCTCCCCTCCTCAGTCACCACCCACAGCACTCCTGCCAGACTATAATGGCAATGGCAAAGGTTTGTTCAGCTCTTACTGTGGCAGAGCTGAGTATTTTGCATTTCTGTTTAAATCTCCTAACAATCCATGAGAGAGGAGTTGTACTTTATAAATGGATAAACAAGTTTGGAGAGCTGTACAACATGATTAGGGGGACTGCTGGAATACAAGCCTGAATCTGCACTACCTCTAAAAGCATACAATGCTACGTCAGGTCACCAAAATGTTGCTCACACCCTTCCTCTTGTGTAAAACATCCACCATCTCTTTCCCTGTTGGTATACTCCTATTCATCCTTCAAAACTCACTAAGGCATTAACTGTCACCTCTGTAAGGCTTCTGTGACAGCGGAGTGAAGTCTGCACTGCTGCTTGTTTTGTACGCATGTCCATTATTGCAAGATTCTTCATGTGGTGGTGTATTTACTTTCACATCTTCCCTGCTAGTTTCCCAGAGACTGTCTCATCTCTGTATCCCAATAAACACTGGGCAACTGAAGCGAAAATTCTGGTATAACCACTTGGGAAAACGTTTATCTAAGTGTAGTTGACCACTGCCTGAAAATTTTCCTCTGAAATTATGGTGTGGACTACAGGTGAATTGGCCTAACATATTTTATAAGCCCAATCCTTACTATTCTTTAGTATAGCAATACCAGTTTCTGGACAAGGTTTTCAGAGGAGTTTGCCTTTATACATATTCTTCCATGAACCACACTAAAGATGCTACAATTACTCTTCACCCTGAGTGCTTACTTAGAAAATGACTTTGTGAGGTTTCCAGACACTGGCTGAATTCACTTTGCCCCAGCCTCAGAGCAGCTCCACAAATAATTTGAACTACTCTTTGCTAAGAATGATCACACAGAGGATAAATATTCTTCCCCCCACACACTAACATCTACTCTCCTTGCTCCCAACGACAGCACATTTCCCTTTGGGGACCTATGCCTCCCCAACACCGTGTCCATTGGTCTGGGCAGAGCACATGGCCCAGCCTGAGCCAATCACACCTTCACATTCCCCTGGGCGCAGTGACTGGTTTAGGGTTGGGTGCATCTTGTAGTCCCCTATGATGTGGCCACCATAGGTCCTCCAAGTCAGAGTGTACATTAGGACTTTTGGGAGAGGTACTGGAAAGAACTCTCCTATTTTCCCAGCAGACCTCACCCTAGGTGGAGGTGAAGAGATGCTGCAGTTATGCGGCTCCCACAGGGGAGAGAGCTTAGAGATTGGAGTCAACGCAAAAGAAGCAGAGCCAAGAAATAGGTGAAATCAGGTCCTAGCAACATCATTTGCAGTCTGGGTCAGGTTGTACCTGAAGCTTATCTTGCTCAACTTTTTAGTCAGGTGAGGCAAGAAATTCCTTTTCTGCTTAAATAATTAGCACTGGATCTTCTGTCACTGAGTAAGTCCCAACTAATGTAAATCCTTAGACATTTTCTTCTCACAGAATCCTAACATGTCTAGCACTAAAAGATGAATTTACCTAAGGGGTACCCCAAACATTTTTCCCTGAGGCTTCCCTAAATCAATGAATGAATGACACCTCCATCCACCATATTCTCCAAGCTGTAAAGCTAGCACTCACCCTTGATGGCTTCCTCTCCCTCACCCCTTAATCCTCAGTGTGCTTTGATGCTCTAATTTATTCTGTATACTCCAGCTACCTCCCATTGCTTCCCACCTGCTGGTTTCTTTAAAGTTCCTCAAATGGAGTTTTCTGCCTCAGAGCCTTCCTGCAGAAAAAAAGTCCCTTCTTTCCCCTTCCCAGCAATACCTAACTCTTATTCCTCCTCAAAGTCAACTCAGAGAAGCTCTCCCCTTCACCACAACCTGAATTGGGACCCCAACTTCCCGCTTCATTCTTCTTTCACAACCCTGTTTCTCCTCTGTTGCACTTATCCACATCTACCATAAACACATGTGTTTTTATTAATGTTTGTCTCCCCTACTGGGCCATAAGCTACAGGCAGTGAGGGGCAGGCACACCGCTATGTCCGCTCCAGCTCTCCAGCCCCACACATGCTTGGGACATGGCAGCCTTGCATGTTTTGTATTACTGATTCAAAACAAAAATAAAAAACAAAAATGCAATAAAGTGTGTATGTATTAAGTGAAAAAAATGGCTGTCTTGGCTTTGTGCTCTGTTGACGTATGATGTCCAGCAGACAACTTTCGCAGCACAAAGTTTTGGGTCAGCAGGATAAACAGCTGCCATGTCCCACCTCTACCCTCCAAAAACACCAATGATTCACAGGAGACCCTCAGCTCAGGGAGAGAAAGAGAGCTGCCTAGAGACCCTCTCTTTTAAATCCCCATGTGCTCATTTTCTTCTTTATTAACAAGCACTCGGAATGTGCAAAGCACTTCACACATACTAACCCTCATAGCAACCCCATGAAGGAGGCACTATCTATCTTTAGCTCCATTTTGTAAATGAGAAAACTCAGGCATGGGAAAACTAGGTAATAGGCCCAAAGTCTCCTAGCTGGTAAGTAGTAGAGCCAGGATTTGAACCCAGGCAGTCTGGCTCCAGCAGCCATGCTCTTGATCTCTTCACTATATTTATCTCAGTACATTTTCACCTGATTCCCCTGCATCATGATGCTGTGTGGGCAGGTGCCAGGAGTGGGCCGAATTGCCCTTAACTCCCCGCACCGCTCCAGCAGTGATGATTCTGCCGCTTGCTGTCTATTCTCAAACCCCAACTCTGCCACTGTGTGACCTTGGGTCCTGAACTCCTCTGCATTTTGTCTCACCATCTGTAAATGGAAAGCCAGCTAATGACCCCAAGACCCACTCGCCCCCCTTAGAGACCCCTCCCCTGCCTCAGGAACTTACAGTTACGGAAATACTCCTCTCCATAGCTGTCCCGGGTCTCCTGAGGCAGCCTCTCCCAAAGCTTTCGCATGCGTGACTCCAGGTTCTCCTTGCCCAGAATGGCTGTCCGGTAGTTCCCTGGCTCAATGATGCAGACCTTTACCCCAAAGTAGTGGAGCTCACGCCTGGGAAAGAAGAGTTGTGCTCAGTCTGGGTCTCAAGATGACAATCATCAGGGAGAGTCACCTCTGGATGGGCTTGTCTTTCAGGAACCTAGAGATGCCTCCCTCACCCCCTGTGCATGGCCCTGGCATTGCCTTTATGCAACTAAGCCCTTCCTTAGGTACTCAGCCTTTTCCCAGACTGGCCCAGCAGTCTCTGGGCAATTTGCATTAGGCATAACTGGCGGGAAGAAGTCAATAGAGAATCTAGGCCAAGCCTTACCTCCCACCAGGTCCCTCCCATTAGCAACTCCTCACTCAACACCCACATGGTGAAGGGTGTGGGTCTACACAAGACCTGCATGCTCCTCTAAAGACCTCCAGAGGGGACCTCTGCCTCCAGGCCTGTCTGTCTTATGGGGGACTCTCCCTCCTCCTCTCACAGGCCCAAACAGGGTTTCACTCACCCTGGTGCTGCTCAAGGGAAGGCCCACCTGATGCCTCGTATTTCCACCCTACCTCTTCTCCTCATACCTTCTCTTGGTCCTTGGAGAAAGCACCTTGAGGTCTAACCTTCCTTCTGCTATTGTGTTAGCTTCCTGTCTGCAGAATTCCCCTGCCCACAAGCTGTCACTCCCAACCCTCTCTAACCCCCGGGATTTCCACCTGGAGTGGTTTAGTACCAGGGCCCACTTACCTGATGCTGTCAGAGAAGGCCTCAACGCCAAACTTGGAGACGCAGTAGCCACCACCAATGACGGCCACAAGACCACCACAGCTGGACATGTTGATAACCCTGCCCCGGGCTCTCTTGACCATGGGCAGCATGTGAAGGGTCACTTCGATCAGTCCCACCAGGTTCACATTAATCACCTTCACAAAGTCCTCCTTGGTCAGCCATTCGTTGGGACCACTGGGCAGGCCCACACCAGCATTGTTCACCAGGGCCCAGAGGCCTGGGGGTGAGATGGAGAACCACATAGAAATCATCAGGGGGCCTGGGAAAGAACCAAGGTTTGCTCCCCACTGGCTCAGTGCCTTCAAGGATGGTTGAGCAGGTGCACAAGACACAACCCAGTCAGGCTATAACATAAAAGAAAGGTGTATCTTTTACTAATTCATTTTCCCTGAAGGGACACTTTTTCCCAATTCAAGTAAAGTCTGCCGACTAGCTGGTGCTCTGTGCCAGCTACAATCAAGGTGTTAGCTAACAGCATTTCTAGCTATAAGCGTTGGGATAAGAGTTTCATTTTCATACCAATGAATTAGTGTTTAGATCCCTTCCCCATCATGCTTCTCCCTCTCTATTCACTTAAGTATAACCAACTGCATTTCACATACTATCAAAATCAATCCATTCATTCATTCATCCATCTTTACACATTTATTCATGCATGTATCTAGTCTGTGACAATTGTAGGGTGAAGGAGGCCAGGTGCAGTGACCCACACCTGTAATCACAACCCTTTGGGAGGCTGAGGTGGGAGGATCACTTGAGGCCAGGAGTTTGAGACCAGCCTGAGCAACAGAGTGAGACTCCCGTCTCTACAAAAAAGAAAAAAAATTAGTCAGGTGTGGTGGTATGCACCTGTAGTTCTAGCTACTGGGAGGCTGAGGTGGGAGAATCACTTGAGCCCAGGTTACAGGTTACCTTGTTCAAGGTTACAGTGAGCTATAATGGTGCCATTGCACTCCAGCCTGGGTGACAGAGTGAGACCCTGTCTCTGAAAATAAAATGAAATAAAAATGATATGAAATAAAATAAAGTAAAATACAGGGCAAAGGAGACATAAAATGAACAACACAGCATTTTATCCCTCCAGGAACTCACAAGCCTAGAAGGAAATAATAATATTTATAAATAAATATATAAATTATTTAAATAAAATAATTATGGAAAATGTGATGAGGACTGTCTTTGAGATATTTCAATTAGGTTGGTACAAATGGAAAGAAATAATGCTAAGTGTGATCATTCAACTTTGCAGGGGCCCAGGGTTGAAGAGCGTCAGGTCCAGTCCTGGTTTTACCTCCAGCTTTGAACAAGTCACTTCCTTCTCTGGGCCTCAGACTCTTCATCAGATTGGACTAAAACAGTTGCTTCCAGACTGTATTTTGCAAGCCTTCTAGCAGGAGGAAAATGCAGGAGAAGCTCTCCTTTCATTTGTTTTACATATTGGAGTTCCAAAAAAATTCCACCAGAGGGAGGGTGATGCTAAAGACATACTGGAGACCCCTCTAAACACTGCTCAAGGACCCCTTCCAGCTCCTTCATGCAAGGATTCCCCAAGCCCTACTGCCCTGGTGATTCCCCTGACAGCACCAGCCTCAGCAGCCCCAGGATACTCTGCAGGCGCATCCCACTGTCTCCTGAGGGCAGGTCTCAACACAAACATAAATCCTAGTCCACCCCTCCCTCTAGGGCCGGGGTCCCCACTGAAGCCATGCCCCTACCCAATCTCCCTGCCTTTGTGCATTCAGGAGCAATGAGAAAGCACACAAGAACTTCCTCTCCCATCCCCCTACCCACCCCAGTTCCCGGTGCTTCTTAGGCAAGGATATTGCCCAGTGGCTTAGGCAAAATAATGGTCCCCCAAAGATGTCGCCAGCCTCATTATCTCTGGAACCTGTGAATCTGCTGGATTACATGGGAAAGGGGAATTAAGGTTGCAGGTGGAATGGAGATTGCTAATCAATTGTCCTTAAAGTTAGGGAGGAAGTTAACACAGGGAAATTATCCTGGATTAAACTGGTGAGCCCAATATAATCACGAGTCCTTCTAAGTGGAAGGAGGCAGAAACCAGAGAATCAGAGAGATTGAGAAAAGTGTGAAAAAGACTGGGCTCAACATTGCAGGCCTTGAAGATGGAGGTAGCAGGCCAGGAGCCAGGGGATGTCAGCTGCCTCTGGAAGCTGGAAAAGGCAGAGACGGATTCTCCTCTACAGCCTCCAGAAGGAACACAGTTCTGCTGACTGATTTTAGATCAGTGAGGCCCATTTTGGACATTACTCCTCCAGAACTACAAGATAATATGTTCATATTGTCTTCAGACTGTACAGTTGTGTTGTTACAACAGCAACAGGAAACTAACATGCTAAGTGAGGTATTAAGGCAAGTGGCTCAAGGCTGAATGTAGGGAACGGGTTGAGACAGCCTGCTGAAGACAGAGGCTCACTCTTGCTGAATTACTAATTAATTAGCTCACTCGAAAACTATTTATTGAGTACCTTACTAGGTGCCAGACATTATTCTAGGTACTAAGGATGCACAGGAAATAAAAGGGACAAAAATCCTTGTCCCCAGGAAGCTTTATTCTAGGAGGAAACAGACAATAAATAAGTAAAATCTATTGTACATTGACTAGTGATAAGTGCTAAGGAGAAGAATCAAGCAGGGAATTACTGTCTGGATCCCCCTGGCTCCAGGGCTCTGTTGCCCTGACCTGTGCATGGGCTCCAGACTAGTTCCTTTAGGAGGGAGGACTTCCTCTAGTCTGCTGCTTCTGCATCCCAGCCATCCTGTTCCTCCTGTTCCTGGGCCCACACCCTGTGTGCTGCAAGTGCATGAGGCAGGTCCCCACGCAGTCCTGGGCCAGCCCCAGTCCACAGCTTCCTTTCCCGATAGGAACAGCCACTCTGACTTACATACTTGCCCTGAAGTCAAACCAACACCCACCATGATGTCAAGAAGAGACCAGATCTCTTTCTCCCCTGCCTGACATAGTCAAGGAGAGAAACTGCACCCCCTCATGGGATCCAACCTCCTGTCTCATTCCCCCTTCCCCTTATCCTGATCCCAACAAGAAATGTGCTTATATTTCCCCAGGAGCTGATGGTTAGGACTGCTGAAACCTCAGAGAGGCACATCCTATTTTTTTTTTTTTTGAGATGGAATCTCACTGTCACCAGGCTGGAGTGCAGTGGCGCAATCTTGGCTTACTGCAACCTCCGTCTCCAGGGTTCAAGTGACGCTCCTGCCTCGGCCTCCCGAGTAGCTGGGACCACAGGCATATGCCACCACATCCAGGTAATTTTTGTATTTTTTAGTAGAAATGGGTTTCACCATGTTGGCTGGGATGGTCTCCATCTCTTGACCTCATGATCTTCCCGCCTCGGCCTTCCAAAGTGCTGGATTTATAGGCATGAGCCAACATGTCCAGCCAGGCATGTCCATTTTTAGAGGTTTGGACACACAGAACACATCTTCCCCCCTCACTTGCTATTGAGACCTCTTTCCTGTCTCTCTGAGTTTCCAGGACAGAAAACTTCCTTGGGAAATCACCCCTTCATGTGAACAGGCCAAACCATGCAGTGGCTTCCAACCAGATTGAAGCAGGAGCCTTTCCTATGTCACCCCTCCCACCCCATCTGGACATCAGGGTCTCTGATACTGTCAGATGCTTCGGGAGAGAGGAAGAGGAAGAAGGAGAAACCAAGAAAGTCAAAGAATGTAATTCGCCCCACCTTGCTCGCCCACTTGGTCCCTCAACCACTGGGTCGCCGCCTTGATGCTTTCACTCTTGGTGACATCCAGTAGGGTGGTCTGCAGCCGATAGGAGGTATCCTGCTGAAGTTTCTGGGCTCCCTCCTCAGTGAAGCAAGCAGCCAGCACCCGCATGCCCCGATCAACTAGCTGTTTGGCCAGCAGGTTCCCGAAGCCGGAGTCACAGCCTGTGATAAAGACGTACTTCTCCGAGAGGTTGCCAACCAGATTGCAGTTCTTGAACCAGCGGTACATAAATGAGAGGTCTGTGAGGGCCGCCATAGGGCAGGAGAATGTGATGGCCAAGAGGGAGTGGGCTCAGGAGACAGCAGGAGGAAGCTGGTCCTCTGAGCCCTAGCAGGCAGTCTACAGGAAACCACCTGGAAGAAGAACTCTCCTCCCTCCCACAGCTTGCAACAAATCTAGGTCCCTGGGTGAGCCACGCTGTAATTTTTATAGGTGGATGCATCACCACAGCAATTAGCTCAGATGCAAGAAATTCAAGTCCAACCTGAAGCCTTGTCACCTCTGACAGCCCTGGTGGCTGCCTCCTTCTCTCCCCCTGCCCTGATGGGTAAAGCTGCCAAGAATGGGAAAGAATCCACTGGCAATGTTGGTGATGAGTGGTGGTTCACCCAGGTGGTGTAAGGGAGGCAAATGAAAAAGGAGGACTCACCCCAGACAACTCCCCTAGAAATCCTGTCGCCACCCTACCCCCAACCCAGCCTAGGGATTTTGGTCTCCAGAGATCAAAATCTTTTGTAATGAGTGCAGGTATGTAAATAAGTTTAAGTTTTATTTTCAGGGAAAATACTCAAGACAAATTTATTAATGTAAAACAAACAACATTAGTTCTGTACCTTCCAAACCCCAAGAGAAACAAGTTGCAGGTCGTCAGCTTTCTGGAATTCTTAGGTAAGTCTCCACCAGGAGAGAGGATGAAAAGCAATGGATTTCTCCTAAGGTGGATGTACCTCCACTGTCCTGAGGCTAGAGGCAGCAGGGCCCTCCTATAGGGGAGGCTGGTGATGTGAAACTTAGCCACCAGAAAGCAGAAAGACCTGGGGGACTCAGGCCTGACACCCCCTGGGGATGATACTCAGGCCATCAGTGACTGGCCCTGGGCAAGATGATGAGGTGGGATCATGAGTTCACTGGGCAGCTGAGGGAATTGTCTGGGCAGAGGCCTTGACTGTAAGAGGGGATGAGATATAGGAGGAGCAGAGAACTGGGGCCAGAGACATAGAAAATTCTCTGGGTCGGGACTTGGAGGAGAAGAAGAGAGTCTAGGCAATTTAGCAAATAATTTACAGAAAACTAAGAGGGAAGGTGGTAAAGGAAAGGAAATAAGGAAACCAGAGGTGTGAGTAGTGAGGGGCCACACCCAGAATTTCATAAGATGCAGGGGAATGATGCTGGAGCCTCCTGTGATTCTTTGGATCAACATCTAGGGTCACCATCCCTTGGGATGAGCCTGGTCCCAGCTCACACCTTCATGGCTTAGAGAGTCTGATACAGAAATGGGACCACAAAGTTCTCTAGTGTGAAGGAACAAAGGATGTATCTCTGTGATCCACCATTTGCCAAGTCTGATGAGCGTAGAATCACATAAAGCAGGTGTCACCTTGGGAAAGCCCTGCAGGGTTTGGCCATTCCTTAACAAAGTAGTGGCAGGGAGGCAGATTATGAACCCACCCTTGAAGAGCAGACCCAAAATTTATAGGGGATGGAAGTGGAAAATGGTAGAAAGCAAACCGCACCTACTTCATAACCACCTCAAGGCAGAGCACCTCCTATGTGGGATCTGGGAACCATCTCCCAGTGTCTGTCTGCCTTCTGGGTGAATGAACAGAGAAGTCTTGGCTGGGAGAGGTCAGACCATGTCACTCAAGGACTGAGCAGACCTGGGGCAGTGGGTATCCCAGTTCTTGAGGACACAGGTGAGGTCCAGGAGTTGGCTCCAAACCTAGAATAAGGATAACTCAGAACTGCTCCAGCACAGGCCTGGGCCTGACTCAGCACCTCCTGGGCCTCTGTGCTGGCAGTGTTCCCCTGGTCTCAAACTAAACACACAGTCCATGAGGGTGTGGGGTGTGAGGGCTGTAGGACCACATAGAAGGCTCTTCCTCCCAGGGCTAGAAATGCCTTCCTCTCTCAGATGACAGGACTCCTTGCTGAGCTGGCCCCTAAGGTCTGGTAGGTCAGGTTGGTAGCTGCACTCCCCATCCCCACCCCATGCACACAGGTATCTCAGAGGAGAGGAGCTCTCTCCTCTGTCAGGCCATTTCCCTCCAGTAGGAGAGCATAGACTCTGAGGGCCAAGACACACCCTGATGAGGTAGACAGGAGGAAGAGCAGGTGTGGGCTCACCTACCCCCAGTTGCTCAAGACCTTCCACAAATGTGGATTCTTCAGGGTGACAAGTGGGCCATGAGGCTCAGGGCCCAAGGAAGTGGGATGCCATTATCTGTGATTGGGTCTCCCTTCCTAAGCAGCAAAATGTGGTTCTTTCCTCCTAATATCACCGGAGTCCTGAATAACATCCCAGGAGAAACCTAGAACAGAGGTGAGGGAAGTGAGGTATAAGACCCTGGACTTGAGAGCTCCCTCCCACCACTCTATTTCTCACCCCATGAAACAGTACCCCTCCCAAATGCAATGACGTTAAAGTGAGGGCCGGTCACTGAGTGCTACAAAGAGGTTGCTTGAGAGAAGAAGAGGACTCAGGTGCCCCAGGGAAGGGATCTGGGGCCTGCCAGTGCCTTAGTGACATGCCATTGCTTCCTTGTCCCTCTGTGTGCTCCTGTGATCCCAGGCTACTTGATTCATTCCTGGAAAGAAAGCAATTGCCCCTCACCTTGGTGGCAGAAAGGGCTGAGACAGGGCAGGGATAATCCAACTTCTCTCTTCAATTTCCTCCTGAGTTCGTCCCTCTCATCCCCAGATCCCCATGAAGGCACCTGCCTCCTCCTCCCTCTAGCTCACAGCCCATGTTCCCCTCAGACTAGAAGGCAACTTGCTGCACATGGCTGCACTTTTCAGCCTTTGCTCTAGAACAAAAGTAACCAGAGAAGCCCGTGGTTTCAAGAGAGTCAAACATTGGTTCCTGTGTCTTCTGTCACAATCCCTATTGAGGACACCACTGCCAGCCAGTGCCCCCAGAGCTGGCACCTGAGGTCTAGGGGTCAGGCTGGCTGCCCTGTCACCCCACACCATGTCCACAGGTGTATCCAGAGGAGCCCTCACCCACTTCCTCCAGGCCATTTCCATCATGGGGAGAGTGTAATAGACTGGCCAGGTTGATGCACACCTGAGGAAGGAGCAGGAGGCAGAGAAGCTGTGGGCTGTGGATCCTTCCCCTCCTCATACCCTCCCATTGTGTAGACTCCTCAGAATTGGCCAAAAGACTCAAAGGCAACAGGACACCTATGAGTGCCACTGGGTCCCATTCTTTAGCAGAACACCTTGGTTCTTTCCGCCTAATGTTGCCAGTCCTGAGTGATATCTCAGTGGAACTCTGTTGAGGGCATGAGGAAGAAGGTGGAATAGGCATCCAGGTGACAAGAGAGCTCCCTCCCACCATGCCATTACTCTCCCCAGGGCACATCATCTCACCCAGGTCACCCAGCTCCACCCAACCATGCACCCCAGTCTTGGATTCATAGGGGCTTAGCCGGCCTTGGAGAGCCCCAATGGAGCATGACGTCCATAGGAAGGTAGGCATGACACTCATGGGGAGGTAGAGAAGATTGGCATCTCAGCCAGCTGAGTAGTGAGTGCTCCATGCAGTGGGTCAACAAGGATATATTCATACTGCATTTTGCCCAAAGGCTTCTAGATGCTTTTCTGATGCCTGTTAAGAATCAGGAAAGATCCTTAATGCACTAGCACATCCCTTCCCTCCCATTTAGAGCTCTGAATTAGAAGGATAGTGTCTAAGAATTCCAGGCCCCCCAAATGATATGCCTCAAGTGTAATCTATCCATATTCCCCAGAGAGTGCCCCAACCTTCACCCGAGAAATATCTGTGCCACTCTAAGCTCCCTCAGCCTCTCTTTTTAAGATATCTGGACTCATAAATTGAAGGTCTCTACTAACAGCCTAAGAATATGAAAATCAACTATCTCTAAACCCAGCTGCCCATGAGCCCACTGTCTCTGACTTCACTTTCCTCTGCAAAATAATGAGGGGTTCAGATGAGGCAGTGGTCCCAATTATAGGAAACTTGGATGCTTCCTTTATGTGAACAGTTGACCACATGGCACCCTGGGAATGGGGCTAAATGTCCTCACTTTGTTGGGGAGGCAGAGTCTGGAGGACAGACTCTCATACTGTTGGAGGCACTAATGATGGACCTAGACTTCCAGACAAGGATTTGTTTCTTGCCCCATTGTCCAGAACTCACTCATGGGATGTCAGAAACTTCTCCCCATAGGTCTCCTTGACCTCAGGGCTGACCTGGTCCGACAGCCCCTTGAGGTCCTGTAAATGCCTCTCAAAGCTTCTCATATTGGTCTTGAAGTGACCAGGTTCAATCACAGCCACCTTCACTTCAAAGTGGGAGAGCTCCCTCCTGCATGGCAGACACACAGAAGGGCAAGGACTTAAGAGGTCTTGGGAGGCAAAACACAAAAAACAAAGAAACCTAATATAAACCCAGCATGCAACAGCAGTGGGAGATGCAAGAAAGCTTGGAGAGTTGGGAAGGGCAGCAGATAGCAGATGAAAGTTATGATGGTGGCCTTGCCTCTCTCTGGGGTTTCCACATTTTACATACCAAAGCTTACTAGCCCTAAATCCTACCAATTCAAGAGCAAGGTAGCACCTCAGTGCTATCACTTCCTGTGCCCCTCACATCCAATGGATCACCAGAATTCCCATATTCTACCTCCTCTGCAGTCCTCAGTCCCCTCCCTTCTTCTCCTGCCCCAGGAATCTCCCTGGCCTCTGAGCTGGGTGATGGCAGCTGTCCTCTGTGGAGCATCCCTCTGCCTTCAGTCTGGTTCCCCACACTCACAGCCACTGGGCTCCCTGCAGTCACTGGGTGTCTAGAAGCCGATTAGACCAAGGAGCTTTCCTGTGCAAATCCCTTTTTTTGGGGGGTTCCACTAACAACAGCATGAGGCACAGCTCCTGCCCAGGGCCTCCACCAGCCCACATGCACCCACCTGCCCAGCCTCCCCCAAGGCCTGGCCCTGTGCTTCACCCCATAAAGCCACCACAGCACAGGCAGATGGCTGAGGCTCGCCCTGGACCTGGGCTGAAGACAAAAGTCATTCCCCCATTTCTGTTCAAGGCTGCCAGGTGGGGATCCTCAATCTTCAGCTCAGACCCCACTGCCAGGACCCTCCCCAGCTTAGGAGGCTGCCATGGCCAGCAGGACTGACTGGGTCACAACCCCTGTGAGAACTGGCAACAGTGATTCTGGCTCTCTTGCCCCTCTCTCAGGTGTTAGAGCTTTTAGGTCAGAGCTAAAACTTTGTTGTTGTCCTAAGCTGAGTTTATTGGGCACTCATCCAAGGGCCCAAACAGTATGTTGCATGGACTCAGATGCTCTCCCCATGCCTCCAGGGCCCAACAAATATCTCTCCAGGGGAGAGAGACAGAGACAGGAAAACAGGAAGATAGTAATGGGGTAAGAGAGAGAAACCAAGGGGAAAGGACAGGAGAGAAAGGAAAATGGAAGGAAGGAATAAGAAAAACACATGAGTAATTACTTTCTGCATCCTGGTTAGGAGAGATACGCCTAAATCCTAAGACTGGGGGAAGTTAGAGAACAGGCCTGCACTGGGCATCAGGGGACAAGCTATGCTACAACCTGCATCAATGCTAAGGCAATATGTGTCCTGGAAGAAAAGGTCACCCTGTGTACCTGGGTATCCCAAAGCTCACTGTGGACTGAATGGCGAGAGCAGAAGGGGAGGAGAGAAGGGGGTCTTATGCCACACAGGTGTCCAGACTATACTCTCTGCCCCAGGAAGTACCACTCTTTCCTCCCACCATCTCATAAGGCCACCTCTGCCCTATCCCCATAGTGCCCAGCCCATTTAGCTTTGGGGAAGACTCTACAGAAGACACAGGGGAGCAAACTAATAGCATGAAAGATCTGGAGTAGTCGGAGCTACAGAGCTATGGACTCCAGGTCAGCAGGGGCAGGGGTGTGAGTGGATGGCAGCTGGGGGATACAGGAGACAGGGCTTGACCCTAGAAATATTGGAAAAACAATAAGGCCTGCAATGGTAGCCCTTCCCCCACTCAGAAACCTTTCCTGGACTTGAAAGAACAAGGATTCTTTGATGCAATAGTTTTACTTTTCTTGAATAGCACTACTAAGCCTGTCAACAAACCTTGGTAGAGAATCATTACTCAGATGTTACTTATGCCAGGAAAAGTGGGTAACAAACTTCGGCATTCAACGATATAGAATCCCTTTAACAAATTATGGTCTCTCCACATGCTGGAATATGGAGACCTTGATTGTTATGTTGTGGAAGAAATTTGATGATGAAAATGCTGACCCCAGAATGTGTAAAGTAGAGGGAGATTAACCCTGGAGGCTGGGATTAGGGTGAATGTTGTTTCACTCCCATCCTCCTCTATCATTTCTCCAATGAGAAATCCTCTCTTACTGTCCTATCTATCCAATCTTATCCTCTTCTATAATTTCTCCATGTTTTCCATTTACAATTAGAACAAAGCAATCAATGATCTCCCTTTCCCCAAAAGGAACAGGATTCATCACTCGGTGTTTGATGTGAAGTCCCTTCAGCTCTCCAAGCCCCAGTGTCCTGGTGAGTCAAGTGGGGATCATCTTAAAGCCCTCAACAGGGACAAGTGTGAAGGAACCAGTAAGAGAATGCTGAGATCAGAAGCCTGGATCCTGCCCGGCCCCATCCCCGATGGTCTCATGCCAACTGTCAGGACCCCACATTCTCCAGAGACTGGGCTCTAACCACAGGCTGGACTCCTCTAACCCTGGGCCCAGCCACGGCCACTCTAGGACTTCTGCTCTGGAAAATGAAAAGCTCAAGCCCCTGAAAATAAAAGTCCTGGGAATGTTCCCAGTTAGCAGACACTAGGTCTCCCCTAGTGACACACAGAGAGAAGAAACAAACAGGCATGAGGAGGGATTGAGGTGGTACCTCTGTCCCCCACATGCTCCTTCGCCCACTGGGCAGCTGCAGCAATGCTCTCTGTCGTGGTGATGTCCATGGTCACCATCTCCAGCCTGTCTGAAGCCTGGCCCTTAGCTGCTTGGCCCCCTTCTCTGTCCTACACGCAGCTCCCACAAGCCTTGTGCATCCAGCTGTCTGGCCAGCAGGTTCCTGAAGCGTGAGTCACAGCTCATGATGAACACGTACTTGTCTCTCAGCTGGCTCACCACCTGCCTCTCCCTGTACCAGTGCAGAAGGTAGTACAGGCCCAGGAGGGCCGCCAGGTAGAGCCACATGGCTTTGCAGACGACAGGTAGGCTGGGGTGAAATGAGAGTCTGGCCTCTGTTGAGACAGGAGGATTTAATAACTCAGAGGGCTGCGGTAGGCAGGGAAGCCCTCAGGCATTTTGGCAGAAAGTCCTCACTTTCCTCCCTTATAACTGTCTTTCTGCAACATTTTTTTAAAACCTGGTTTCATCTCTCTACTATTTGAACTGCCTTTGCAAATAGTCATGCCTGCAATTGCAAACACCAAGTCCTGCCCAGTAGGAAACTATTATGACTCAGCAATGCTTCCCTAGTCTGCAAATTTCTTTCTGTGACCACACAGATGTTTATGTGGGTACAAACGTGTATTCACACAGGCTCACACACAGCTACCTGCACACACTCTCCATGGCAAACATACCCCTCTGCTCTAAGTACAAGGGTCTGAACTGTCTCTACAAAGCTGCTATACTGACACTCCTGGTCCATGGTCTCCTGAACACAGAAAGACCTTATTGGGAAGCTACACATGCTTTCCAGGCACGTTAGGTGGAAATCCCTCTCTGAGCCTGAGTTTCCTCATCCTGCTCAGCAACCAGACTCAATCACTCCTCAGAAAACTGGGTCATGGTCAGGCTCTCTAGGATGAGAAGGAGAAGCCGAAAGAGTGGACAGGAAGAAATCTTCTCCTGCCATAATAGTTTTCTGGGCCAGAGGAGTGCAGGATCCCATGGGGGGAGTCCGACATCTAGGGTAAACAAAGTGGAAAGAAGGGAATGGAGACTTGGAACCCACAGGAAGGAAACATCCAGGGATACTGGGAGGGGAAATGGAAGGACTTCCACACGCAAGAGTCCCAGGGCTCACCCACTCACCTCCAGATATGCCCTGTGCCCAGCCCTGGGTGCTGGCTGCACTGCCCTCTGCCCTCCCCTGCCAGGGCCCACATCCAGAATCTTCTCAGTGACCAGGGTTTCCTTCAACTGTATGTTGTCAAGGGCCATGCACAGGGACATTTCCCAACCTTCACACCCACTGCTCCACTCTTACTCCTCCTGAGAGTAACAGGACCCTTGCCTGGGGTGACAGCTGCTCCCCAGACACTCTAGTTGGGAGCAATCCCTGGAAGTCCCAGAGGGGGCATTCAGAGGGAAGAGGCGTCTGGGAGACACCCCCTCACCCCGAATATGAAATCCCTCAGATTTGCCTCTGGCTTGCAGATTTCTTCCCCGCTACCTAAGTCCTTCGACAACCAAAATGAGTGACTGAGGCTTAAGTCTGAATCAGCCAGGGTTACTAGGGCAGCATCAGGGTGTCTTGGAACTGCAGCGAGGTTCTCTCGCCCTGCACAGCAAAGCCAAACACTGACATCGGGGTAGCGGCAAGGAAAAGTGAGCTATTTATTGCAGGGCACCAAACAAGGAGAATTGGGCAGCTCAAACATAAGACCCTATGTCCCCTATGGTGCACAGGTAAGGGCCAAGATCAGGGGTCAGAAGGGAAGACTCTTGATGTTGGGACTCAAAGACCCCATGCTCCTGAGAGAGGACCAGGACAGCAAAGAGAAGGAGTGAGGTAGCTTCTGTGGCTCCCCTGGCCTCTGTGGGATTGGGCCCCAGTCCCTGCACAGGTCCCTCAGACTGAACCTGGCTCCCTGTCTGAGGAAAGAGGCCTGGAAGGAGGAGAAAAGGAGAGACTCTTATTTTGCTAAGGGTCAGAAATAGGGGCCTTGGACTGGTTTTCACTAGACTTTTCATGGCCATTATTGATCTGTGGTGTCAATGCTCCACCTATGGCTCACAGGAGATGATGTGGGCCGTTGGTCCAGTTTCGGTGCAGCTTCACCTTCAGGGGAACCCAGGCCAAGGTTTGTGCCCTCACCATGATCTGCGTCTCAGGAGAGGACTCCTGGGGTGAGTCACACCTCCTGCACACCTACCCAGTGAGTGATGAATTAAATCAGCAATCATTTATTCATTTTTGTTTTGTGTGTGTGGTTGGCTTTGTGTATGTGTGTCTGTGCACAGGCAAGTGTATGTCAAGAGGGTAAAATAATCAAAGCTTCCACACTATGGAGGCTTCAGATTAAATATCAAGCTTTTGCTTTGCTTTGCTTTGGGGGAGACAACATGGATTGACCTTGAGTGAGCTGGCACAAGAGCATTGAGGGACTTGGAGCCTCCTGAGGACCCTCCCTGGTCATATTTGTATTGTTGTCAGAAAAGACGGTGCTGATCCAGACCCCAGGAGCAGGTTCTTGGATCTCACATAGGAATGAATTCAAGGCGAGTCACAGAGCACAGTGACATAAGCAAGTTTATTGGAAACTACTCTGTTAGAGAGTAGGGCATCCTCAGAAAGCAGGAGGAAGAGGTGCCGGCCTTTGTTAGTGCCTTCCTTAAGACTGGGCACTAGCAAACCAGCAGAAGCTATGATTAAACTTAGAATTGTGCAGAGGTGCTAACTAACGATAGGGGCTATTGATGTTATCAATGACCATTAGTCCTTTAAGGAAACTGTTCTCATTAATGTTATCTTTAAGCAAAGTGAGCAGCACTCTTAGGACACCTGGATATTCCACAGGCCAGGGGAAATATGTTCTGTATAGCCATACATATTCTGTAATTATAATTGGTGGTCAACTTGTAATATGCCTATTTTCAGACTATAAGTATTAACCTTAGAGGTGCCTTGTGAGTGCCTAGCTATTCGCTTCAAGATAGAGTCATGCTATCATGTTTTATTAAGCCAGAGACCTGGTAAGCAGGTGTTCCTCTAACAGTATCTTCAACATTCACATGCCTGACACCAACGTTCATTACATGTTCTATATCAAATGGCCCTGCAACATCTGACCTCACTCTCAGTTTTACAATGAACACCAATTTTTTCAACAACATAGG